ATATCAGGGTTATATTGGGGTAATATTAGGGTTATATGAAGTATATTAGGGTAGAAAAGAGAATGAAAACCACCTACATCGGTTCAGGTTCAGGGTTTAGGGCTGAATGGTGCAAGTTGAAAAAGTGTGGTGCTCAGGGCTTAGGCTTTGCCCCATAAACCCTAAATTCATCAACCCAGTAACTGGGTGTAGGGTTTCAGTTTAACTTTAAGCTTCGCTGCGCTGTAAGGGCGGTAATCGGGTTGAGGGTCTGCGGGGTTGAGAGAGCTGCACAAGTCTGGGTAATGTGCTAAGGGATCCTGTTCGCATTTTGTAGGGCTCACAGTGGTGTATGTAAGTGTTTCCAAAGGTCGTCATTGGGGCTCCCCAATTTGTGAGATTCCAAAGGATGGGGGCTCTCTGTTTGAAGGTATCCTCTAGTTTTGGAGTTGAGGGGTTTGGTGTTTAGGGTGTGTTTAGGGTTCAGGGTTTAGGGTTTGAAAAGTCTTTTAAAGGCCGGACTTCAGCCCTACAGTAGCCCGACCGAAGCCTATCTTAGACTATCTTGCTTCTGTGGGCACTTGACGTGTTTGACAGCTGTTTCCACAAGGCGTGGCGAATATGCAGAGGGATCTCTCAACCTAGCCCCGAAATCTGAAAACTACTTCTGTACAATCACTGGAATACAAAAAGAACCTCCGGGTTGAAATCATACCCCATATAACCCCAATATAACCCTAATATAAACCTTATATCGACACAAGCCACATAATCCCAGTTTGCGTGTCATTCTCCATGTGCTTCTGCATTATCCCCTAAAACGTGCTGCGCCCAACAAACGTTGGCTTCCATAAACAGGGGCCCGACGATCAACCTGATCCTTATTATAGGGACTCCCAGCAGAAGGCCTCTGGTTTTGGAAAACCCCAAAAACCTAAGTTTGGGTTTAAGGTTTCTGGTTCTCCATGAACCCTCAAGCCCTGTAGAGCTACCAAACCCTCAACCCAAGCCCTAAACACAAGACTCGTGTGAAGGTAGGCCTTAGGATCTGGTACCCACATGTAGTCGGAGTGAAATGGAAACGTAAATGGAATACTACTACGGTGGATACTAAAAATCCAGCATGACCCTAAGTATCCTAAACCTTGGGAATAATGATACTATGGTACAAAAAGGTCATGCAGATGCCCCTAATCAGAACGTCTCTGGGACTCCGTGACAACATCTATTGGCACAAAAGTGCGTCACGGGTTCAAGCCAGCTTTCAATTCTTCAATGCTTGCATTCTGAAGTTGCAAAGCGGCAAATTAGCACTCAACATTGTGTGTCAGGACGAATATGAACTGCTCATGCGGGGCAGGTAGGATAGGGAGCCTACGCGGAAGAGAGACACTGACAAAGGACCGAACGCGGTCCGCACTGACCCAGTAGGCAATGAGACCGCTTGAGTGGGTACCTATCATATACCCTAAACCCCTGAACCTTAAACCCTATAACCCGCAACAATACGACCAAATCTCAAAAAGATCCAAACGGGGAACTACTGCGGCCAGCTGCAGGAATCGTTTTAGAGGAAACCTTGCGCTGTTGTAGCGCAAGCCCAGTCGTCCTAAACGTACTGGGGGGTAGTAGAGAAGAAGGGAATATGATCCCTGTATAATCCCTATGCAGTCCCCGTATAATTCCTATATAATCTCTACATAATCCCTGCATAACTATGTTCCCGTATTCCCTATTAACCACCAGCAAGTTAAAGACGCCTTCAGTCGGACCTCTGGTCCCTGAGACGCATGCAGACGATGTGAGGTCATGATCAACCTCGGCCCTAAACTCTACTCCCCTAATAGAATCTACCTGGGTTTACTAGGGAGTAAGGGAATCAAGTGATAGGGATTATATTCCCTTTTGCCCTATTGACCACCAGTAAGTAATTGGGACCCCAAAAAACGTCCACAAACCCTTCTGTCCTCTTAAGAGATGGATGACGTATGTCCGGTAAACCCAAATCGCCTGCCCCCTTAACATATCTAAGAAATGGTTTTGCTGGTGGTTGGCAAGGTACGGAAGAATGCATGATTGCACTAGCCCCTACATAACCCATGCAATAATCCTCATACTCCTTCTTGACTTACCACCACAGAGCAATAACATGCTTTGATCAAGGGCCATGAGGAGGAACCTTGGAAGAAGCCCTTAATCCCAATACCCTATATAGCCCTTGTATGGTCCTTATATACCCCAGAGAGAACCAGGGAGTCCCAATAGTAAGCCCCACAAGCTACAAGGATTCCCTTGAAGGTCCCCTCTGAGGTCACCAGACTCAAGTATGAACCCTAAACCCTGAAACCCCACCCTATAGTCCCCCTTAAGAAGATAGAATATGGCTTTGGGTATATATAGTAAGGTCTCTATATATCCAATATTCTATCTACTTAAGGCAACTATAGCCCCTCAACCCTAAACGCTAAACCCTAGATTCTATCTTTCCCTACCTAGGGATGCCCTGAGCCTCTCAGGGCACCATGCGCAGGCCCGCTGTAGTAGCCTCCTCGTGACAAAGACCCCTGGTGCCCTCCCAGGGGAATGGGCAGGTTACTTTGGGGGACTGTGTAAGGACTACCATAAGAATCCCCTGATTCCTTCCCCACTAGGCGAGAAGTAGAAGAGATAGCGATGGAACAGGTGCCAGGGACCACGGAAGCTGACGTGAGTAAAGTATGACAAAGGGTTGGATTTCAAGAAACCCGGTTTCTTGCCATGACGTTTGTGAGCCCCATACCCGACTCGAATGTTCAGGGGAATGACACCCCAAATCAACGCTGTATATATTCTCCAGCTATGACCACATAAGCCCAATAACAGGATTATAATTGGGCTATTATCCCTCAACCCCCAACCAAGAATCCACGCAAAAAATGGTCGACTCCGGGATACCAGCATTGAAATGTATTTGAGCTTGCACGATTTGGTTTGACCATGGATCTCCATGCTAAATGGGGTTCCCCCAAATTAGGGGTACCTTTTTGGGGGTCCCTATAGTGAGGATTATAATGTTGTGGTGTCTATAATGGGGTTCCCGTATTTTGGGAAACTACCAAATGCGCGGGTGTCTGCTTGCAGGCAGGTCGGGGGGTCTACTTTACAGGGAAATGGGTGGCCCGGCAAGAACATAAGGGCCTCAATAATTACCAACACAATGGTGAGGTCTATTTGATTTACCATGTATATAATTATACAAGGAAGAAAATGGAACCATACTACTGGTCATTATTTAGGCTCCTATATTACCCTGTTCTGCCTGTCTATGGGCCTCCAGATCCCTTTGCTACCTCTCTATGGGCCTCCAACTTTGGTTTTGGGAAGGGCTTAGGTCTTTCGCGCAGACAAGCCCTACTTTCTCTGTCCCCTGAGCCTTTAAGTACAAAGCAGCGTTGGCAAACTTGATCTTTCAAAGTGCTTCCCAGATGCTGAGTAAACTGCTTCTCATTTGGGGGTCCTAAACCTTAAGCCCTAGATCATAAACTGCTTGGGGACCCTAGGAGCACACGGAAAATGCAAGGGGAAAGGGGTGGTTCCTACTTGGGACTATGTAGGAGTTACCCAGAAATTGTAGGGATCAGGGTTTAGGGTTTAGGGTTTAGGATCATAAGGGGATAATGAAGGTCCTTATTAGGAGTTCTTTAGGGATCAAACTTGAAGAGCTAGCTCCCATACAGCGGTAGCTGAGTCCTGCTTATAGTCCCCCTTAAGTAGATAGAATTTGGCTTTGGGTATGCTATGTTAAGATCCCCATATACCCCATGTTCTATCCAATTAAGGGCGACTATACCCTAAGCCCTAAACCCTAATCCCCATCTACTGAAAGGGACTAGATCTTCTCTGCAGGAAAGCATGGCGGGCTCCAGAGGCCTTGCTGAATGGCCTCCTGGCCCTAGCCTACGTTAAAAACTCATCCGGAACCTGGCCCTACTTAGGGTTTCGGGTTTAGGGGTTTCTGACCCTCATCTTGAAACCCATCTGTCAGGTTCCACAATGCACCACATTAGTTTGCAGCATGGTGTCTTCCGACAAGCGTAGGGTTTAGGGTTGGGCTTGGAGTTCACGATCTCGAAATCTCTAAGCCCTAAACCCTAAACCCTAAAACCTAAACCCTGAACCCTAAGCCCTAAACTCTAAACCCTAAACCCTAAACCCTCAACGCTAAACCCTGAACCCTAAACCCTAAACCCTAAACTAAATGAACAGCACATGAGCAGACTCTCGCCACAGCCTGCGGCTGGAGCAGGAGCGCGCACTACGGCCTGCGGCTCGTCGAAGGGGGCGACGTCCAGCACCTACCAGTTAGGGTTATAGTCCCCCTTTAGGTTATATTAATGGAAGATAAGATGGAAGCTACTATATTATAATAGGGTATATACTGGGGTTATATTCCCCCTTAAGTAGATAGAATATGGCTTTGGGTATATTATAATAAGATCCCCATATATACCATATTCTATCTACTTTAAGGGGAAATATATATTGGGGTTTTATGGGTTAAAATCATCCAGAACCCTTAACTCTAAACCATCGGTCACATGCAAGGCTCAAATTTTGCCGCGGAAACTACCCGGTGCTTCGTCTCCGGGCTGCCTCTAACGCCTTTGGTTTAGGGTTTAGGGTTTAGGGTTATCCCTGAACCCCAAAGTAGTCCCCTAAACCCCAGACACTGAACCCTAAGTCCTGAATCCTAAATGATTGAAGCCGAAACCCTAAAGCCTAATACCTTAAACTCTGAACCCTGTTCCCGGGATCGCTAAAGGCAAAACCCTGAACCCGAAACCCTGACCTAAACCCTAAACCCATTATAGTAGTTTCCACTTTCTTTTCAATTATCCCTATATAATCCTATAAAACCCTTAATATGACCCTATATATCCCTTTAAGGGGACCTAGGGTTTCCATGGGTTAGGGAGGGCCCAGGTAGATTGGGTGCCCGCCTGGAGCCGGAACTTTGCTACTACCGTCGTGAACCTCCCAGGTATCGTCTCAATGGCAGAGTCGATCATGAGCTTGTCCTCGGGATCATCTAAGGTTTAGGGTTTAGGGTCTAGAGTCTAGGGTTTGGTTTGGGGTTAATCTGCTTCATTCTGGAAGGCCAAGACATGGAACAGTTACGCAAAGCACGCAAGCCAAGAAAGCCGCTACTTGAAGCTTCAGGGGACTGAGCAAGTTGGTCATAGAGGAGGCTACAAGCAGCCTACACCAACTAGAGGACTGAAAATTTGATTTCGAACCTATAGTCCCCCTTAAGTAGATAGAATATGGCTTTGGGTATACGATAATCAGATCCCCATATATCTACTTAAGGGGGACTATACTTATTAAGTCCCCTGCCTTCAAGCATGAGAGCAAATGAGGAGCGGTTCCATGATGGCTAAACCAGGAAAGAGTATATACTCTTATAGCCAAACCCTGACCAAAAGGAGAATTACAATTGTACTCCATTTTGGGCCCATAGCACCCCCAAAAAACGGACTACTAAGGTATCGACCAAGAAGCTCTCATTTCAGAGCACACGGCGCGTTCAGCGTCAATGTTAGAGACCTTCTTGGCCATCTCACGTGACTGCTCCGAATCAGAGATCCGACTCAGCCGGCCTTGAGGGGAGAACCTCAGATGTGGAAGTTTCTCAAAACAGCGTGGCTGTTTGGGCCCCTACAAGTATATAGGGAGTATCGGAAGGTTTACGGACCGCGCTGAAGGATTGAGAGGGGGATGGCCCCGACAAACTGCCAGCTGCAGAAATCCACCTTCTATAACCCATTATAATAGTTTCCATTTTCTTTTCCATTATTCCAACATAATCCCAATATGTACCCTATATGTATCCCTATAAAGGGACCTAGGGTTCCATTTTATTTTCCATTATCAACTCCCTCTGCGCCAAGGCACACAAGCAAGGGGACGCCAAGCTCGCTACAACGCCAGCCTTCAAAAATACACCAGATGCGCCTGGGCTGCAGCCGCACATCGTTTGCCCAACATATCATGAAAATGGCATGGAAATGGCCCTAAACCCTAAGCCCTAAACCCTAAACACTAATTGAAAAGGTTCACAGACTGGAACAATCCACCAGCCCAAGAGTCAGAGAAAGTTGCGGTGGCCTCTGCAACGAAGTTTTGCCAAGGCACTCAAACGCTGTGCAGTTGTTGTCCAACCTCAAGCGCAGCACGGCGTGGCGCATGACTGGGTGGTATTTTGAAGGCCGCACAAAAGGCTTATGAATATGCTCCCTCGTATTCCGCTATAACACAAGAGGGGAAAATTACAACCCTAGCCTAAACTCCAAACCATGAGTAATGTCCTACCCTAAACTCTAAACCCTAAACCCTAAACCCTAAACCCTAATTCTCCATTTTAATTCTCCCAAGGTGCGACCTAAAAGATGATCATAATCCCAGTTTCCATTTTCTTTTCCATTTGATTCTCCATTATTGTAGTTTCCATCTTCTTTTCCATCATCCCAATATAACCCCTATATAACCCCAATCTTACCATCTTAATCAGCCAGCGCTGGGGCCCATGCAGCATGACAGCCCCAAACATCTTCTCTTTTGTCACCTGAAAGCCTCAGTTGCTAGAAACAACGGGGTGCTCGGCCAATTAGGCCAGAATTCAGGAAGCGAGTCGGGCCCTCATAAGGGACCTATGGTTAGGACCATAAATACGAAGTTGACTCATGAATGGGAGATGCCCGTTGACTCTGTTGGGGCTAGGGGTTTCAGGTTACTGGAGGTTGGCACAGAATGGAGGAATTGCCCATGCTTGTCCCCATCTGACCCTCTTAAGTTCATTAGTCCCCTACTAACTGCCAGTAAGTATGTTTTGAGCACGACAGCAAGTGCAGAAGCATGACCCTTCCCCTTGGCTTGAAGCAACTGCAGACGCGACGGACAATGACTGAGGTACGGGCAATCCGCAATGTGGTCCAAAGCACGATTGAAAGGCATCTGCATCCAGTCACTGGTCACGTCCTGAAAGTGCTGTAACGGCTGACTTGCGGCACATTTTGTGGCAAATCTGAGGCATGGTCCGTGTTGTGCAGGTTCCTGCAGAACCTTGGGAGAAACATATACATCAAGGACTTTCTGGTGAAGAGGCAACTCCAAGCAATCTAGAAGAAGACTTCGCAAAACAGCCTGCTTCTCACTTGAGTAGTTGTCAAATTGATGGTCCCGTTTTGGATCCCTATTGTAATACGGCACCTAATATTTACTGGGTTCTTGTTGAAATACCAATACCATTAAAAAAGATCTTTTTTACTTAATATTGGGCCCAGGTATCCATACAAATGTAAAATTTAGTTCTACAAGAGCCCAGAAGACAAGGACCCTTAAAACAACCCTGATATGGGGTTCCTAGTAAGCCCGAATTGACTCTACTGACTATATTCCTTTTTGAAGGAATCCCCCAAAGAGGACCCCTAATGTGGCAACCACCTACTTGGGAAGTCATCTCAATGCCTCATGACTGGATTAATATGGAAATGCAGTTGGGATAATATAGGGAAAATGGAAACCACTATATACTAACAGGGTTTATAAGCTGGCTTAATATGTGGGCCTCAATAGTTACCAATATAGTTTTGGGGTTACATCGGAATAATGGAGAAGAAAATGGAAACCCTAGGTCCCTCTAAAGGGATACACACGCTTGTATTAGGGCTATATTGGGGTTACATTGGAATAATGGAAAAGACCATGGAAATTACTAGCCTGCGCTAATGCCTCAGTGCAAACCTTAACCGCCTTCAAAGGAGAAGAAGGAGCGTCCCCCAGCTGATCATGGCACTGAATGCCAAGCTGCGGATCAAAATAGTAGCACACTAGACCTGCACTGGGGGGTAACGTGTGGGATTTAGGGATTAGGGCTCAGGTTTGATACCACTTCTAGTTGTAATCTGAATTCGCTCTAGGTGAAGAGAAAATCGGGTCGGTCGCGGTGGCATGACACCAGCTCGTAGCAATCAACTGCTCCACTCTTGTATATAACCTAGTTTCCATGTCATCTTCGATTTTCTTGTCCATTCGATTCTCCATTATCGGGGTAATATCCCTAGAACCCATATAACCCCTATATAACCCTCATACAACAGGTTGCTGCAGTCCTGGATCTTGACGTAAAATATGAAGTGCATGTCGTTGCAGTGCGCGTGTGAGATCCAGCACCTCCTGACAAAAAGCGTCCGGAGGTTTGGAGGTTTGAGGTCACTGAAAACGATGTAAGGGACTAAAAAATTAAAGGACCGGAGAACCCCACATGTGTAGTTTAACCTGAGCTTAAGTGTTATACTATTCAGATAGCGTCGCCCGGCGATATAAGAGGACATGGCAATCTATAACTTCACCTCAAGGCGTCTAAAATGTTTGCGCGACGGAAGAGCACGCTGCGGGTGCCGGGCGACGCACATCGAAATAATTAGAACCCCACACTAGATGTGGGGAATTACCAAAACCATTTTAGTGCCTTATACCGAAATTGTACGAATAACCTAGGCCCACGACACTGGCAGACATTTAGACCCCGACATTTCCACAGAAGAGCAGTGCATCCTGACCCCAGTAGTGTGAGATGAAGCAAGACGGAGCAAATCCCCCGCAAAGCTCGGCATAAGGAACCTCGCAGGGTTGATCATGTCTAACACGACAATTTAGGATTTAGGGCTTAGGATAGGGTTTAGGGTTTAGGGCTTAGGGTTTAGGGTTTTGCGAAACACTGGAGCTATCTACAATCGGGATCGATAGTAGTCACAAGGGGTTGTAGGATACCATCTGGCTATTAGTTGGGTTTTTCCTTACCTTCCTGCAGCCTCATTTAACACATCGGAAAGTCAAAAAAAGGGGGAACCCTAGTGACCCTGGGGATATACAGGGATTATCCTTACTTATTTAACATGTAGAGTTTAAGATTTATCCCCCAAGCAACTGCTTCGAAACAACGCCAAACCAAACCCTAAACCCTAGACCCTAAACCCTAAACCCTAGATCAGATAAGCATTACAGTTTTCTCTTCTCAGGGATCCCACCACCCTAAACCAAATTACCAAATGCGTAATGTTTCTTAGTGGTTGAACCTAGTAAGATTATATTCCTCATATAAAATACTATACCCAAAAGGAGGATATAATCTTACTCTGTATTGGTTACCATAGTATCCCCAAATGAAATACTACTCAAATGCTCCAAGGAACCCCTTTGCGAAGGACGACGATCGTGCCCGGTTCCTTCAACAGCCGCTTGTCGCGGGGAGGGGCCTCACCCAACGAGAGACCACGAAGTTTGTGGGGGATCGCCAAGGCATCCTCCTCTTGATGGCTTAGGGTTTAAAGTTTAGGGTTTAGGGCTTAGGGCTAAGCTTAGGATGTAGGCTTCGGGGTTCAGGATTTAAGGTTTAGGGTTGAGGTTTTAGGGTTTAGGGTTTAGAGATTAGGATTTAGGGCTTAGCGCTTCAAAATTTAGGGTTTAGGGCCTATAGGATTTTAAATCCGAAACCCTAAACCCTAGATTTTTAAGCCTAAGCCCCAAATCCTAAACCCTAAACCCTATAAATTTTATATGGTTTGGGATTTAAGGGTTTAGGTGATGCCTCCCTTCAAAAAACGCAGGTCCAGATGGCTCCTGCTGCATGCGCCCATGCTCTGGCGTTGTCATCCATCGCTTTTGCCGATCCTGAGGGTTCGGGGTTTTGGGGTTTGGGGTTTTGGGATTGGGGGTCTAGAGTTTAGGGTTGAGAGCTTAAGGTACATCATAGGTTCCACTACTAGCCCCCACCCCAAACAAGCCCCTGTAGCCTCTCTCTTGGTCAACCTTAAGGAACCCTCATTATCAACCCTAACAAAACCCTAAACCCAACACCCAAATCCCCCGAAACCCTAAAACCCAAAACCCCTAAATCCTAAACCCCTCAATTCAGGGGGAACAATAGGGGGTAGATCGTCATGGCCATGAAGGCTGTGGGCAAATTGGGATGTCTGATCTACAACACCAGGGTAGGAAGAGGTGAGAGGGTTTAGGGAGTAGGGTTTAGGGTTTAGGATGTAGGGTGTGGGGTTTAGGGTTTAGGGGTTTAGGGCTCTGTAAGGATTATAAAAGAACTAAAGGCAATCCAAAAATCAAAGCTACTTGAACCCATCCCTGAAAAGTGGAACTGCTTTCAACAAAGTAATTGAGATGTGAGGTACCGCGTCATACCATTCACTATAGACTGATTACAAACGAATGTTTTCAGTCTTCTACAATACCTATTGCAAAGCGCACCTGAACCCTAAACACTAAACCCTATTTATCTCCATACATCCATACATGCATACATGCATACATGCATACATGCATACATGCATACATGCATACATGCATACATGCATACATGCATACATGCATACATGCATAAATGCATACATGCATACATACATACATACATACATACATCCCTATACTTGCAGAGATGTTAGAATTCTATGTGTATATGAGAGTTTCTGCACGACATCCGAATAATTCATGCTGGACAAAGCCTCTATGCTGCAAGTAGTGAGACAGGGATGCTTGCTTCTTAGCTGTCAAGTACAAGTACAGGGTTTAGGGTTTAGGGTTTAGGGGTTTAGGGGGTTTAGGGTTTGGGGTTTAGGCTTTAAAGTTTAGGGTTTGGGTTTGGGGTTGGGTTTATACTGCCGCTTGATGGACAGGCAAGCCCTCGAGCTCCTGAAATTCAACAAAGTTGCTTCGGCAGCCCAGTAATTCTTTCGGATCGAACCGTTCTCACCTGCAAAATTTAGCGCTCATGATTTCACATGTACATCTCACAGCCCAAAACTTGAGGATTTGCACATGAACAGTTCCTAATAAACGCAGTGATACGCCGTAATTGACCGACAATTGCTTTTTGGGTGGACTGCTAGTGTGTTGGGGATGAACCCAAAATGGAGGGGTATGTCTGCGCTCATGCGACACCAGCAGGGTTCAGGTTTCCCTCTATGTCTTCTGTTGCCATTGAACTCGACTTTCCCAGCCAATATCAAACTCGCTTTTGACTAGGGTTCAGGCTTTAGCTCCAAATTATTATGATCCTTCTTCTGGGGACCCTCAAGAAGGGACCCTTAATTTGAAGGGGAGAGGCAAATGTCAGAACGAACTTGTTTACAAGTACAAGCAAGACCTGGCTCCTCCTCAAAGCCTTGTCCCTCTCTAAACTTTAGAAGGACGAGCATGCAAGCTAGAATTGAAAAAACCCTAAACCCTAAACCTTAACTCCAAGAAACAGTTTGAAGTTCACAAAGCACCAAATACCCGAAGCTGGAATTAAAATTGTTTGGCAGCTAGCCGATGATGGCTTTCAAACAAAACAACCCCACTGAGCACTGCGCGCAAAATGCCCTCAATGCAAAAATGTTCCTGAGCTCAGAGTTGTTCGAAAATGGTGGCCTTCGGGACCCCAAGGGCTATATACGGGCGATGATGGGCTAAGGAGTCGATAAGGAATGCTTTGAAGAATTCGCAACTCTTGAAGTCTTGCAAGTATTTGCAATACCATGTAGCTGGATTGGTCTGGGGGATGCAAGTCTGCTTCTTGGCACTGGCAATGTTTCTTTAAAAAGCAGTAAAATCATTCAGGATTCGACATCAATACCGTCAACGCGTGCACCGTCGCGAAACATCAAGGTCCCATCATACAGGATGGTCTCGTGGGATCTGTCCAGTGACAACCCCAAACGATGTGCAGAATCGGTCGACAGCTCCAGAACAATCTCTGCACCTGGGGTCTGTTGACATAGGAAATTCACACGCAAACAGTAACCCAACATTCACAAAAAATCACAACACTGTTTTAAGCCAAATGTGCACCTCCCTTATTACTGAACCCCTTGCTCCAAATAGTCATTGATAAATCCGCAGGCGAGCACTGCAACTTTTACAACTGGGCAACTTACCGTAGTTCATAATCCTGAATCGAGGCTTTTGTGTGTATTCACTGTATTCCTAGTTATGGCTACAATCAGGGGTGAATTCATTGGAGCTCTCTCTAATTGGTCCAATACACTTACCGAGCTTTAGCATGCCTCAGAAATGCAACGGACGAACAGCGGCCTAATCATCCTTGTAGACCCCCTCTAAACCTCTTTTTGGTGTAGGGATATACCGGGCTTCGGGCTTGGCACCATCAAACATACCACCGATCAAGCTTACTACCGCTTGGAACCACAGCCGGCAGGCTTATATGGAAGTGTTAGGAATCAGGAATGTTATCTTTTTGTAACGAGATTGAAACTGCATGAACAAACATCCTATTCCAACGCCTTGTTCTCATCATGTACCCCTAAACACCCTAAAACCCTGGTCCCAACATTACTGCAAAGCCCAGTAGCTGGTGGTCTTCTCCTGGTTTGCCATCACATGTCAAGCGTGGTAATGGCAATCTACATGAGATGTAAGGGGATGTCAATTTGCCATCCTTTTTTGGGTACCCCAAATATTACTGTCTGCATTAAGGGTTGCAGGTTTTGGGATCACTTTTTGGGGTGCCCCGAAAACTAAGGGCCTCCTCTTCCTGGGGACCCACAAAGGGACCATAATCTTGACATCCTACCTGCAAAAGCAAAACTGAGTGCAGCGCAATAAGAACTTCTGGAACCAGGTCATACATGTTTTTGCGACCCATCCCACCACCGGAGGGAAGTTCAAGCCAGTCTCTTTTCTCCTGCAGAAAAGATATTGCGATATATTGCGCATGCACTCTTCAGACATAGTGGGTATGACATAATATAAAGAGCAGCTGTTATCTCGGTAAAGGGCGCTTCTTTTACTGTTTGGATTTGTTTGGCTTTTTGGGCGCGGGCGCTCCCCAGCCCTAACAGCGAAAAATACGCTGGCCGCCCAGACAAAACAAAAATAAACACCAGCCGCTTTAACAGCAAAAAACAACCCCCACCCACTCACCCGCTCAGACCGCCAAAAAGAAATCGTTCAAACATGCAAGACCTTTACACCCTCCTCATCCACGCGCAGGCCCGCTACCCCCCCCCCTATACGATAAATCGATTGGAGGTGAAATCTTAGGATGCATCAAGCAAGAGCTCCCTTGGATCAAAATATAAAGAAACTCAACGCTCCATGCGAGAACTTAATTTCGGTCTGATAATGTGAGGAAGCTGCAATTTATGGGGCCCCCAATTTGACAATCTAGGGGCCTATAAAACAACGAGGTATCGAGGATGCTCTGCGCGGGAGCGCGATTTCACGGCCTTTAGCAACAGCATTTCAGTCGCTATTCTCCATGATCCATGGACCCAAATCCCAAGCAAGGGGACGCGTTTTGCTTTGCTGTTTGGATGGAGGCGTGCCTTTTTCTTGCTTTTTGGGCGGGGGGCGGATTGTTTTTGCTGTTTGGGCAGGTTGTGGGTTCGGGCGGTCGGGATGCGGGGCGTGTTTTTCTTGTTGGGGCGGTGGAATGTGTTTTTGCTCTTTGGGCGGGGACGGGAGTTCACTTACTTGCTGGCATGCCAACGTTCAATTATCTTTTCAACTCTGTCTACTACAGTTCCATAACTTGCTGAAACTCAAGGCTGCTGCTGGGTATGGTGTCGTTGTGCACGGTCAACATTAAAGAAAATTGGCCCTCCGCTTACACTCTACGAACCCTGAACCCTAAACTCCTCAACGAGGTCCAGGAAATCGTTTAAGCGAATGCCTGCTGGGACCTCCAAGGAGTCAGGCTTCAGGTGAACAGGCTTCGGGCTTGGGTCCAGGGTTTGGGGTCCGAGGTTTACGGCTTAGATTGTAGGGTTTAGGGCTTGGGGCTTCTGGGATTCAGGCAGAGTTTGAGCCTGGAGTTTATGGTTACGGGCTTGGGATTTAGGGTTCGGGGCTTAAGAAGACAAGATCCATAAGTGCAAAGTTGATAACCTTAAACTCTAAACCTTAAAGGAGGACGAATCACCAAAAAACGGCAAGAGCAATCACAATCATCTCGACAACCAATGCAGGCCTACAAACAAGCTCTCTGCCTATCCCAGCTACGAAGGTGTGAGTTTCCTAAACTTAGGGGATACCTTCTTTGGGGGTCCCCGTAATAGGGAATAGAACATATTGGGGTCTATATTGGGGTCCCCTTATTTTGGGAAACTGCTAAATCTAGAAGAGCCTCCGAGTCTGCTGCAGCTGGCCCGGTGTCCTGGTGACTCACAAAACGCAGTGCTGCTGAGTGGGGACTTCACAATCTGATTGAGCGCAGGCAAACCACTTATGCGTGAGCATGTACAACCAACATCAGTAACAGCAAGAGCAAGAACCTAATTGCTTCCTGGCATACTCAGAGCATACTCAGTATTCTGGATTCTTGTTGCAATACCATTGCAAAAGATCATTTTTAATTGATATTGGGCCCAGGTACCCATAGAAATGTAAAATGTTGTTCTACAAGAGCCCAGTAATGGCTTCCTGTGGCATACAGCATACTCAGTATCCCTGGGGCTCCATGTCTACAAATAATGCCTACATTGGGCCCCAATGTCTATAAATAGTACCTACATTGGGTTATTTGAAGGTCCAGGGTATGGAGAAGGTTGGTGATCTTGCGGGTTTGGGGGTTCAGGGTTTGG